TGGTTAAAACTTTTATGTAAATCGGTTAATTGCATGATAGGAATTATCGGAAAATTCTTGATTTGTTTATTTTTGATTGAAATACACATGGCAAGGTGAATAACAGTTCAAAACCCAAATCTTGTTACCATGGATTACTGCTACAGATTACGTTGAAGTTATGGATAAATTTGCTCTTCAAACCAGACCACTCAAACTTATCACTAAATTCGACTGCCAGAAGGCGTTCTAGGCTCCTCGTTATTCTCTAAATTCTTACGGAATGTCTTTTGAACATATTTTTGTCAGACGATAAATGACTCTCTGCGAGTGCGAGTGCTGACGTGCAATGTAAGTTCGTTTTCGTTATTTAATGGACCTAGCCTAGTGAATTTAACCTTCCCATTCAGTCTGGTAGACGACGAAATAAATTAACCAGGCCATTTCATTTTTGATGCTTGAGATTTTAAAAACAATTATTGTTTAACGATCACCTGGAGCAGATCAATGGCTTTCACTTAAAACCCCTCGTGCCTGTGTACCATTGATACCGATATGTCATTTGTACTGCGCATGTGTAAGACGCCAATGTTCAGCACTAGACATCTACTGCTGGTTTGACAGATTGGTTGGCTGGCACTAAATACTTCACCGTTTTGTAATTGAAACACTGACAAAACTTAACGTCGAACAAACTTTATGTTCTTTGTGTCATTAACTGATTTACTTGGTCATGAATAAATGTGTGTCGGTTTTTTTCTCTCTGGGAGTCACATAATAATCGCACGCCATTGTCGACTGTGCGAGATGATGAGAATAACTTCGTAGTTGTATGGTTTTATGTCGCATTATTTGCAAGGAATCAGTTATTTCTTTAATGACTTGTACAATTTTGAATGAAATACACTCATACAATACCGTATAGGTCTTATTGCATAATATTTGAGGCTTTTTATAGGGTTTTTAGCCTCAAGCGTCCGAGCTGTGTGATATTGAAACACTTGTCTGTAAACTGTAATCCCACTGATAATCTCGTGAACACCAGTCAAAGTAAACACTTATAAAGTAAATGTGGTCAATACGGTATTGTAATTCACAAAACTTAAGTTGATCTCTATGATAACCTGATCTCTAATTTCGAGCTTTATATATTTGCTTAAGAAATATGTATTCATAGAATCCGTTTAACAGTCTTTAATTTGAGATTGAAAATTAAAATCAAATCTTCTATCACATAATTAGCTTTTCAAAACAGGACAGTAACCACTTCTCAAAATCTGTCTGTCTGTCTGTCTGTCTGTCTTCAAAGACGCTGAAAGCAAACACTACAAATCTGTAGAGTTATTCCACACTGTAGGCTTTGCTGAACAAGTAGGTCTTAAGTCTCGTTTTAAAATATTGACATCAGTAACTTCACGAAGATCAAGTGGAAGGTCATTCCAGAGTTTTGGAGCTGCATATGAGAAAGCACGTCACCATATGTTTTCTGTCTGTAGTTAGTGTTATGAAGAAACTTCTTATTGGAAGAACGAAGACAGCGGCTGGGTGTGTACACATGAAGTAGTACACATGAAGAATGCAGTTTGGAGCAATCCATTCAGAGCTTTGAATGTCAACAGCATAAGCTTGTAGTCAATCCTATAACGAACAGGTAGCCAATGTAACTTCTGTAGAACTGGAGATATGTAATTATATTTTCTAGTGCAGGTGATGATTCTTGCAGCATTGTTTTGAGCATGTTGAAGAAGATTGATGCTATTGTCCGGCAGTCCAAATAATAATGAATTCCCATAATCAAGCTTAGCAGATAGAACAGCATTAATTAATGTCTGGCAGGTGTCATTACTGAGATATTTCCTAATGCGACCGATGTGATGAAGATGGTTGTAGATGGATCTGCAAGTAATCTTGATGTAAGTGTTGAACATATGAGTATTGTCAAAAGTAACTCCCATGTTACGAGTAGATGTAACTGGTGCAACTGAACTGGTACAAATAGTGATTTTGTCAATTGGATCAGGCAACTTGGTAAACTTAGAGCGAATGAGCAGTACTTTAGTCTTAGAGTCGTTGAGTTGGAGCTTGTTTTGCGTCAAGCGTGCAAGCCTCAATTGAGGCTACAGCCGAGATGGAGTCCTTGCGAGTGAAAGCGAGATAGAGCTGGTTGTCATCAGAATACTGGTGAAAGTCTAAGTTGTGTTGACGAATGAGTTTACCCAAGGGGGAATTATAGATGGTGAACAGAATAGGGCCAAGTACAGAGCTTGTGGTACCCCAAAGTGAAGCTGACATGGCTCACTAGTGACACTTGAAACTGAAACTGATTGACATCGACGTTGAAGATATGATTCAAATCACTGGAGAGCCATATCAGTAACACCAAGATTGGACATTCTGTTGAGCAGAATATTATGATCGATAGTGTCAAATGCAGCGGATAGATCCAGGAGACAGAGTAATACGTAGTTACCAGAGTCGATGAAAGAACAAATGTCATTATGGATTTTTAGAAGAGCTGTTTCAGTGCTGTGGTACTTTTTATATGCAGATTGCAGTGGTTCCAGAAGTGAGTTTGCAGTAAGATAGTCCGTCAGTTGAGAAGCAACAATCCTCTCCAAGACTTTGGGCGAGAAACGGCAAGTTGGAGACAGGACGATAGTTCTTGAGTGTATTGTGATCAAGTGATGTCTTCTTAAGTAGTGGAGTGACGATTGCAGACTTGAATAGTGCTGGCACTTCCCGGATTGAAGAGAAAGATTAATAGTCATTGATATATATGGAAGCAATGAATCAAGACAAGGCTTGAGTAGTGGTGTAGGAAGAGGATCCAGCAGGCATGACTTGTTAGGTGACTTCATGATGAGCTTACGAATATCCAATGGATTGGCAGAGGTGAATGAAGGCAGGGTTGATGCAGTATGAATTTCCAAATTGGTGAACTGAGTACTAATATCAGTAGTGTCCAGGTTGGTGCGAATATCCTTGATATTTGTAGTGAAATATTGACTGAAACGTTTGGTGAGTTCATGGGTGGAAGTGTGGGTTGGTAGAGCAATATATTGGCTGAACAGTGTAGAAATGATTCTAAATAGCTTGCTCTGGTCATTGGCACATTCTTTAATGAGGTTGGTGTAGTAACTGCACTTGGTCTCGCGTATTAGCTTGTTGACATGGCGACATGTGTCTTTGTAGATTTGATGATGGATTTCAAGCCTAGTTTCTCGCCATTTTCGCTCTGTGGCCCTACGATGATTCTTTGCCTGGTTTAATTCAGCAGTATACCACTTGGTGTCTGGACGAATAGTGATGATGCGCTTCTTGATTGGTGCATGCTTATTGAGAAGACAAGGGACAGCAGAATTGTAAGTAGTAACAGCGGAGTTCAAATCAGAAGGTTGTTGATGTAGATCTGGATGGTAGCAATGTCCTTAGAGAAATCAGCAGAAGAAATTGACGATATGCAGCGATAAGAGATTTGGTAAAAAATTATGGTCCGCCAGTGGTGAGGTTATTAGTTGAAGTCAATCATACAGTTACATTTCCCAATTTTTCTCAGAACCCCGATGAGATAAATAGCCATACATTTGTACAGTCATATAATGTTATTTAGAAAAGACAACATTTTGTCCTTAAGGGATAATTATTCCACATTCATTTTCTGTGTTTTCCGAGATAAATTCCCTAATCCCTGGCTATTTTTTCGTGAGCCAAGAATCTGCCTTCCATTGAATTTGCCACTGTGCTGTTTAACGTATAAACAAGAGAACTCTGTTATTACCATTTTTCTTAATGTACAGGTGTAAATACATAATAATAAATTAAAATGAAAAAATCTACCAATTCAGTGCAAACACAATTCTAATGAAATGATTGTAATTATTTCGATGTTCTACTCAAAATAAATTTACTCTCATAGACAGCCATAGATAAATCTTGTACAGGTTCAACGCAGATTGCACAATGGTGTGCACTTATCACTTGTTTAACATATTTGTTTAGTTAGGTCCAGAAAATTTGCTTGGATAAATTGTGCAATCTGAAATAGCACACTTTAATCTGCTTTGCAACAGCTGCTAACAAAACAAATGCGAGCTGTACGCTCCAAACAAAGTGAAACACACAAGCTAACCACCGTCATTACCAAACGCTTCAGCGTGGTATTATTACCAAACGCTTCAGCGTGGTATTAAGAGTTTGTTTTCAGGGGTGGGTGATACCAAGGTGGGAAATGGATGCACATATGGGGTTAATTCCTTGAATTGCAATATAGAGGGTTCAAGCTGAAATACAATATATAGTGTTTTCATGTTTCGTCTGATATTTCTGTGGTATTCTGCTGCTGTAAGTAATGCACGATTTGTTCCGAAATTCAGTATATTGTGTGTATTCCAGGGTTATTCGTTTTTTGCTGAAAACACCCCTATTTTTTTAGTGGCAGAGTCGAATAGTCTGACTCCCACTGGGAAATCTGCATTGTTGCTTGAATGTGAGTTAATTAAACACCTTTTCCAGACCGGCGAAAGAGTATACAACAGCCAATTTTAACAGCCTGTCACGTGATTTTAGTCTGAATGTCAACATGAAGAGGCTAGTCCATTTTACGCAGAGTAATTGGGAGTAGAATATGTGAGGGATAGTATCAACAGAGATGTGTATAGTGAAAAGTAATATCTATCCTTCATTTGCATCTCTGAGCATTTCTGTTTAGTATATTGGTTTGAAAATG